ATAGAAATATTGTTCGCAGGCTCCCTTAATAGAAACTACGTGACATATTGGACATTTTAGACAGCAATATTTTATATAAAATCCACCCGATAACAATTCTTGGATAGATTTTTAAAATAATAATTTAATCGTATAAATTGATTTGTATCAAAAATTCCGTACAAAAATCATTTACCAGAAAAATAATGAACTCTGAATAAATGCCATAATTTTTATTCATGGAATAACCCATGAAATTAATCTCTTTAAAATTTAGCATAGATCACTTGAAAGTGCTTGCATACTTATATAAGTAAAGGTATCATTATACAGTTGCATATAAAAGCACACTGACATATACATACATAAGAGAATCTCCGTAACATTAGATATAAAGAGTCATCCTAGAGACACATGCAAACCAAACATTAGGGTATAATTTTTTATAAACAACACTAAAAAAGGATGAATCCTACATCATGGTATTTATTTTGAAAATTTTTTCCAAAATGTTCTCTGTTGATTTGGCCCAATTCATCAGTTTTGTGTTTTTGAAATAAAGAAGAAAAACATGTGTGAATTAATTATAATCAGTGTAGAGAATTAGATGGAAATGTCGATCAAGTTTGAGATTATTCTTAATAAAGCTTTGTTAGAAGGTTTATTCTGTTTAAAAAAACACGTTAATATTTAAAGATTTTATAAAAAAACAACTCTAACATGAACGATACGTAAAAAATATATCTTAAAAATTGCTCCCTAATACACATATAAAACAAGTAGGAAAGTATAGTCGGGCATGGCCGACCATATGTACCCTACACCACTGAGTAAGTTAAAAATGTGGATTATTTTTAATAACAAAGCATTTAAGTGGTTTACCTTAATTCCGAAATATTTTAACAATTTGTTGAAAAAAGTGATTTTCTAAAAGAGTAAATATGGGTCTATCCTTATACATTTTGGTACATGGCATTACGTTTACATTAGAGTTATTATGTATGCTGGATTTCATCGTGATATTAGTGTTTATTAGTGAATTATTGACCTTCACGTCATTTTCTGAAGGGGACTTTGTATGGGGTCTAGGGTCAAATAAAGTCCGATAATTACTAAAATCGGTAGAATTATTAAGGCGGAATTATTTTGCTGATTTTTGTAGGAATACTATAATATTTAACATAATTATGAACTCATATGCCCTTTTCGGGAGATTATGGTTGTATAGGGGCTAACCATTTTCAGTATGCTTCGTCGTTATACCGAAAAACACGTATGGTCCAAATTTCATCAAAATATCTTGAAAATTGCGACCTGTACCTTGCGCACAAACTTTACATGGACAGCCAGCCGGACAGACGGACGGACATGGCTTAATCGACTCAGAAAGTAATTCTGAGTCGATCGGTATACTTTAAGGTGTAGGACCAATATTTTTGTGCGTTACAAACATCAGCACAAACGTATAATACCCTCCCCACTATGGTGGTGTAGGGTACAAAAACATACATATGTATACAGTTGCTATGCTGTCTTTAGTTCTATGCATTAATATCATATGCATCTTTCAAGGCTCTAACTGCACAAAGTCATATCAATTGGTTTTATTTTCACTTACATATTTAGACAATGTTTCGCATCGCCTTTTTATTGTTGTTGTAAAGTAGTTACAACCTTATTTGAATGTCACAGCAGTGTTGTCCAATGTTTGGTTTACAAATCTATATTTAGTCATCGATATTTATAAACGGTATACAGGAGTTATAAGTATTTAAGTTAAGTTACACTTTACCTTTGTCCAATTTTATTTAATTAAACTTTACAATTGTGAAAAATATAAAAATATTTGAAATCGGATGTTAGATTCTGCCCTACTGTGGAGCATGTCATAATATGCGATTTTCAATATTTCCTCCTTTAAGGTGTTATACTAGAAAAAAAGAAGAAATCAATGTGTGCATCCAGCTTAACGATAGATACTGTAGATACCTATGTAGCAACAGCTAATACATACATATATCTATGCATGTATGGTATTGGTGATATTTCTTATTTTCATTCTTTTTTGCTTGTGTTTGCCTTTCATCTGTGCTCAAATATCCTTTTAACATGTGTATACATACATACATACATACATATGAACATGTGCCTGCGTATTTGTATTTGCATGTGTCCATATATATTTGAAGCATTTTGTTGTCTAACATTTACCATTTCGAACGAGCGCGGTGCATTAAATTCAAACATTATTTTGTTATGAAAATGGGTTTTGTTATGCTAAATTGATTTTGAATGTTTATTGAGGCATATGAAAATGTTTGTATGAATACAAGTGCTTACTTATTCTTGGTTGTATATGGTTATACATACATATGTAAGAAGATGTAGATTTTCAACTGCTGTCGTTTGCTATTACCGTTAGTAATACTACTACTACTATGTTCATACATATGTATAAATGCATATTTATACCCTTCAACACTATAGTGGGGAAAGTATTATGCGTTAGAGTTGATGTTCGTAAAGCACAAAAAATTTGGTCTTACACATAAAGACTACCAATCGGCTTTGAATATTTTTCTGGGCTAATAACGCTGTATCATATAAACTACGTAATGAAACTATATCACAAGGATGATATCTATTGACTTTAGTTGAAATTGGACCATTTTAGCATCCATACAATCGGTTGCCCCTAAATAGGTTCTTGATACTAATAATATAACTGGTGTAGGGTATCATATGGTTGGCTAAGCTCGACTATTCTTTCTTACATGCATATAAATATATTTGCATAATGTTATATACATACAAATTTATACATATATGCATATGCATTATGCATATACGTATGTACGTTTGTTATGTATTCGGCACATAAATGTGAATGTTTGCATTTAAAGTGTCTTTAAGTGGCAATTATGTACAAATGCATTAGGGGGTGTTAAAGGACACTTAAGGTTTTATTGTTATTATAATTGTGGTATTTTATATGGTGATTTCTTTTTTTCTATTATTTTTTTTTCAAACATATTTGAAACGTTTTATTTGTAAAATGAAGAGCAAATTTGTTAAAATTACACTTATTATATGAAAATTGTGAAAGAACAATTTTATTAAAATCCTGTAAGCAATTATGAAATATTTTATAATTGGTTTATAAATTTTTTTTTTAAATACATGTGTTAATTAGATGATGATTTAAATGGAACTACATTATAATCATTTAAAATGTATGGTAATGACTTTTACTTACTTAACAACTTAGTTTTCATACAATCTTCATTACTTTTAGGTAGTCTAGTAATGACTTACATAAAATCTAATGTATTCATATATATTATCCCAGCAAAAACTGGGTAATGGCTTTCAATTGTAATTACTTACCTAAAAACATACTTTTCAATGACTACTACATATTGTCTGGATTACATAGAAGTAGTCTAATAAGGTCTTACTAATAATGCGTTATATAAATACTTTCTAATTCATTAGTCATCTTTTCAATGAAGATATATAAGCTGTGTACGTTTTTTCATGCGATTTACAATGATTACTTCTTCTAATTACTTGTAATCGTTTGTGGTAAGTACTTGCCTCCAATGACATCACCGTGTTAAAATAATGACTTAAAATGCTATTGTGTAAGTAAATTTTAGTATTTTAACTCCTTACATGGTAATGAAAGTTTTCCATAGTAAAAACATTCATTACCATGTAAGGTGTTAAAATGCTAAAATTGACACGGTGATGCCTTTGGAGCAGGTACTTACCACAAAACGATTACAAGTAATTAGAAAATGTAGTCATTGTAAATCGCATGAAAAAACGTACACAGATTCCCCATCTTCACTGGAAGATGACTTATGAATTTGAAAGTATTTATATAACAAATTGTTAGTAAGACCATATTAGACTACTTCTATGTAATCCAGACGATATGTAGTAGTTATTGGAAAGTATATTGTTAGGTAAGTAATTACAATTGAAAGCCATTACCTAGTTTTTGCTGGGTTCATTATATGTATTAAATTAAATGAAGGCTGTTATCATTTATTTTCGACCAAACTTTAAATCTATTTAAAATTTTTAAATTTATTGTTCCATTTACTATGTGCCTCCACAAACTCAATAACAAAAGCTTTGAAAAAATGTCCACCTATTTAACCATTACATAAAAATTGAATTTACTCTATATTGAATTCAGTTTTCTAATTGTAAATGTTAAAAAAAAAAACTTTTCTCTTAATGACCATTTTAGACTATTAACTTGAAACTTTTTCAATTTCAATACGATTTAATAACGATGTCTATTATCAATGAAATTAATTTTTAGTATTATATTTTTTTCAAATGTTGTTTGTTGGCTTTTATTTAACATTGGTCGGCTTAACTTTTTGACCTCCTCAAAAAAAACAACAAATATTTTCCATATAACAGCCACAGCAACAAAACAAAATTCAACTCCATTAAACTCTTAACAATAAGTTTCAACAACAGCAAGGACAAACAACAAAAATAAATCCTTAAATAAACAATAACTACATGAAACGAAATCAAAAAAGTCTAATCAACAAATGAAATCTATGATAAATTCTTTAAAAGGCTCTGGAATGGAAAAAATAACTAACAAAATAATGGAACAAAAGAGTACTGTATAAGGTTTTAATATTGAACTTTTACCCAGACTTTGGAAAAACATTAATTAAAATGTTTGTTTCAAAAAAAAACTTGTTACATAAATATATATAAAATGTTAAATATTTACATTTTTACATTATATTTAAAATCCAATAAGAGGCTTTTTATGTAAAAAGTTAAATAAGTAAAAAAAGTCCTTAAAAGATATGTCTCATAAAAAAAGTTTTGAATATAAAATTATTACTTTTTTTCTTTCAAACTTGTTAAGATTTTTTATATGTATGTTTAAAATATTATTGTGTTAAAAATTTACTTTTATTGATAAATCTTTTTATTTACTTATAAAATTGTTTTATTTTTTTTTCACCATTTTATTGCAGAATTTATGGCAATGATACATTTACTTTGCATTTGGATCATGGTCGTGGCTTTGGAAAGGCTTTTCATGATGACTTAACCATTTTGGCACCCATGTTGCAGTGTTGTATGTTAAGAAAATCCACCGTTAAAAAATTATTAGAGTAAGTTGATGTGTGGGTTTTATGTTTGGGAGATGATGCAAAAGCTTAAGTCTGTTAAGGGTTATTTTTACTTAGGCAACAAAATGTATGTAAAAATACACTCTACTAAGTATCGAAATTGTTTGACTTTAAGCACTGTAAGCGTGGAGTTAGAGACAGTTTTCGGGTTAACAATTTTGGATTAAGTTAATTTAAGTAAATTTTGTTTGCTAGTATAAGCGGCCGATGAGTGTTGTTTCAACTTTAATAAGAAATGCCAAAGTGTTGGAGGTTTTCCAATTACAATGTGTAATTAAGCAATAACCAATTACAGTAACAATTACTTCTAATTGTTATTTAAGTTTTTTCAATTACAATTACGTGTAATGTGTAATTGAGCAATAAACAAAGAAAATTACATGTAATTGTAATTAAAGTCCACCAAATACATTTACTTGTATTTGTAATTTGGGTGTTAACACTTATTTTTAAATGTAATTGGCAAAACATGAAGTAGTTGTATTTTTTATACCCTACACCACTATAATGGGAGTGTATTATGCATTGATGCTGCTGATGTTTGTAACACCCAAAAATATTGGCCCTACACCCACCTTAAAGTATACCCATCGACACAGAATCACTTTCTGATAAGATATGTCCGTCCGTCCGCCTGTGTGTCCATGATTGGGGGAAGGGTAATCGTAATGATCGGGCCTCATTTGACCCTAGCCCCCATACCAAGTCCCCTTCAGAAAGAAAATTCACCTTTAAACACTAGTATCGCGATAATATTCTGCATAAATAACTTTAATGTCATCGTAAATTACTCTACGGGTAGAACCATATTTACCTTTGCACCCATGTAACCCCTCTTTCAAAAAATCACTTTTTTTTGACGACAAATTGTTAAAATATATCGGAATTAAGGTAAAATGCTTTATTATTAAAAAAATAATCCACATTTTTAACATACACACTGGTGTAGGGTATCATATGGTCGGCCATGACCGACTATACATTCTTACTTGTTACACCCTACACCACTATCGTGGGGAGGGTATTATACGTTTGTGCTGATGTTTGTAACGCATACAAATATTGGTCCTACTTTCTGAGTCGATTATGACATGTCCGTCTGTCCGGCTGGCTGGCTGTCCATGTATACCTTGTGCGCAAGCTACAGGCCACAATTTTCTAGATATTTTGAAAAAATTTGGACGAGCTTTTGCCACAAGGACTATTGAAAATGGTTTATTTCACCTAGCCCCAATACAACCCTTCATAATTATGTTAAATATTATAGTATCTCTACAAAAATCGGCAAAACTTAGTTCTATATATATCTTAATAATACTACAGATTTTCGTAATTATCGGACTTTATTTGATCCTAGCCCCCATACATAGTCCCCTTCAGAAAATTACTTGAATGTCCAAAATTTACTTATAAACACAAATATCGCGATAAAATTCAGAAATATAAAAATATTCACAAAATTTTATAGGGCTTGGTCCATATTTGCCTTTAGCCCCCCATATAAAGCCTCTTTCAGAAAATTAATTTTTCATCCATAAATTGTTGAAATGTATCGGAACAAGGTAATATTGAAGATAAATGTTTTATTATGAAAAATAAATCACATTTAATATTCATAACTGGTGCAGGGTATCATATGGTCGGTCACGCCCGACTATACTTACTTACTTGTTTTTCATTAATATTTGCTTGTAACATTTTTCATTTGAACATATTTTTTCTCAATAGATATCACAACGGACCCAAGCCATTATCACAAGTAATGCGCGAATCAATGAGTATTGATCCAGTGAGTCCGGTACTATGGGAACCACATTTGGAAGCTTTAGATCGCCGAATTGTTATCATCTTACAAGGTGTAAGAGATTGCGTTAAGAAAAATCCACCCGAAGAATTTGATGCATCAGAAGATAATGTATCATCATAGCGCTATAGTTTAAAGAAACTCAAACCAAACTTAAAACAATTAGTTTAAGCTTAAAATTAACCAAGGAAACAACAAAAATTATAAAAAAAAAATAAGAAAATAAGTAAATAATTGTTTTTGTTTATATGAAAATAGAAATACTATATAAAAAATATTTATATAATGTAATTTTTTGTTAAAATGTTAAATTAAAACTAGCATGAAAAAAATAGTAAAAAAAACTAAATCCTAACAACTAAAAATGAGCGCTAAAAGAGCTTTTCAAAAAAGCTTTCTTAGCTAATGCTCTCTATTGAAAAAATTTAATTACAAAACGAAAAAAAACAACAAATTTCATTAATTAGTTCTCAAAAGCTCTCGTTACAATTAGTTTTATATAGATTAATTAAAACCAACAATAATAACAACAATTTAAGCTTTAAAAGTGATAAATTTCTAAAAAAAACAAACAACTTCATCCATTAAAAAAAAACAACTTGTTATTAATTTGAACAAAAAGTTAAAAAACAATATTTATTTGTTTAACAAAAACTTAAAAAAGTTTTTTTTAAGCATCTGTTTATTTCAATATCTACCGTTATTTTTTGTCAACAACGTCTTGTTACTTTAGTACCTAATTTATGAGGACACGAGAAAGTCAAACAACACTAACATCAAGATCTTATATACTGGCAGCTATATATTTTTTAGACGTTGTTTTAAAAAAACTAAAGACAAAATATGTTAAAAAATAAAAAAACAGAAATATGTATAAAAAATATTTATTTTTTAGCTTAATAACACAAGGTGTTTCAAGCTTTAAAGTTTAACAAAAGAATACCAACTAACTTTATTTAAAAAAAAATACAAAAACAAAAAAGACTATATCATATTAAAACTAATATTTAACTAAGTACTACTACTATAACAAAACATACTATATTTAATATTATTTATCATTTAAAGTGTTGTCAAATTTGTATATCGGTCTTAGAAAATGAACTTAATTTCAAGCTGAAAAGTCTAAGTTATACATTTTTGAATATAATTCTGCTTTCCTTGAGACTCTGGTTTTATGTAAACTTTAGTCTCTTTAGCAAATTTGTAATGTTCGTCACTGAACCGGTCCATTGTAGAAATGACTACACCTGTAGATACCTATCACAGAAACTTTTCTCGCAGATCATTTGGCAACACTTATCATCCTCTTATTTTAAAGTTTTACCTATAATTTTTATATTGAAAGAAAAGAATATGTAAAAAAAACTTTATTTAATATTTCTTTTCTCCTTTTTCTCTTATTTTCCTCTTAGCATTATTAGAATATACCAAAGAAATATCAATCATTTTTGAAATTTCATTTTTAATAATTTCTTTTACTTAAATTACGTTGAAATAACACATACATACATTCATACAAATACATATACACTTATGATATCAAACGGAAAAAACACATACATATAAAATACATATTTTATCAATGAATCTTTAGCATTTTTATGTTTCTAATGTTAATTTTTTTCCATATTTCTAATGAACTAAAAATCGAAATCAGAAAAAAAAGTTAGAAGAAAAATAAATGTATATGAAGGAAAGAAATAAAGTTTATTTATAACGAAAGTACCTTATGTGTATGTTTGTTGTTTGAAATAAAAACAAAAATATATTAATGATTTATTAAAGATTAAAAGAACACAATTTAATGAAGAAAATTAATGTATGCAAATATTAGGGGTATTCAATAATTATTATATGTAAATTTATCTAGCATCTTATATTACATATTTATATATTTTATAAATTACTTTTATCAAATATAATTTTAACATACATTCAAAATGTGTTATTTTACCACCTCTCTTGAATACCTTTAATAATTTATGTTATTTTTTTTAAAATTCTATATGTAAAATTAACAATAACCATGCATATACATGTACATTTGTGTAATAATGACTATTAAAGACAATTTGTTTAATTAAGTTTGTGTTTAATTTGTTCTATTTTTATATACTTTTTTTCTAAATATTATTTTTTAAATTTGATTGTTTATATTTATAAATACTATGAAAACAAAAGAAAAAAACATTAGAAGAAACTAAAAAGGTTTAAACTTATTGTCGATGTTATTTAATTGTAATTAATTAGTAATGACTATTAATCTGATACAATCATTTATATGTATATTTTTAATTAGACAAATTAGCACTATTGTAAAAATAAATAAATTAAATTAATTAAAAATAAAACAAACAGAAAATATATATATATATATATATATATATATATATATATATATATATATATATATATATATATATATATATATATATATATATATATATATATTAAATATGTCAACGAAAAAAAAAAATAAATTATATAATGGAATAAATAAAAATATTTGACTGTTAAACAATTAATTAGACGGGTTTTTATTAAAAAAAAATATTTAGAAACATTTAAGAATATTTGTATAAACTTTTTTAGGTAAGGTATCAAATCATATACATAGTAAGAAATTATAGTCGGGCGATGCCGGCCATATAATACCCTACACCAGTTATAAAAATAAAATGTGATTTAGTGTTCATAATAAAGCATTTAAGTTGACTTTTATTTATTATTTTATTTAAAGCCATTTATTGTTGAATAAAATTGTGTACATTTAACTCATATTTTGAAGGGGGCTTTGTATAGGGGCTAGCGTCAAATGAGGCCCTATAATCGGAAAATTCATCAAGGTCATCAAAACTTTGCAACTTTTTGTCGAGGTACAAGTATGTTATACATAACTATGAACTTAAAATCCCTATTCGGGGGGTTCAGTTGTATGGGGGCTAGGTGAAATAATGGACTGATCTTAACCATTTTCGTCTCTAGTACAATCTTCTATTGTATTCTATGTGCGAAATTCTATTGAATTATCTTCAATTATCTGCGACCTGTAGTTTGATTACAAGGTTTACAAGACCTATTCGGGGGTTCAGTTGTGTAAGCGCTAGGTAAAATAATGGACCGCTCATTAGCATTTCATCCGTGAGACAATAGCAAATCATGTACCAAATTTCATTGAAATATCTTCAAAATTGCGACCTGTAGTTTGATTACAAGGTTTACATGGACAGACAGATAGTCGGATGGACGGGCATCGCTAAATAGATTTAGAAAATGATTCCAAGCCTAGGTGAAATAAAGGACCGATGTTAACCATTTTCAATAGGCTTCGTCCCTGGGACAATAGAGGATTATGTACCATATTTCGTTGAATTATCTCCAAAATTACTACCTGTAGTTTGATTACCAGGTGACATGACACCACATTGTTGGTGTATGGTGTAAAAACTTACAAACGTCTATAGCTCTTTAATTCGATGTAATTGGATTCAGACATAAAATACAACAAAAACAACAACTAAACTTTACCAGATTTTTGGAATTTTGACCTAATATATGACCAGCTAGGACTTCCAAACATATAATTTATTTAATGTTAATTAATAAAATATAATTTTATTAATTTTTGAAATGTATGTATGTATGTATGTATGTATGTATGTATGTATGTATGTATGTATGTATGTATGTATGTATGTATGTATGTATGTATGTATGTATGTATGTATGTATGTATGTATGTATGTATGTATGTATGTATGTATGTATGTATGTATGTATGTATGTATGTATGTATGTATGTATGTATGTATGTATGTATGTATGTATGTATGTATGTATGTATGTATGTATGTATGTATGTATGTATGTATGTATGTATGTATGTATGTATGTATGTATGTATGTATGTATGTATGTATGTATGTATGTATGTATGTATGTATGTATGTATGTATGTATGTATGTATGTATGTATGTATGTATGTATGTATGTATGTATGTGTGTATCTATCACATTCTATCTACTACGTCATCAAAAAATGATTGCAAATTTTGCCCAACTTGATTTTCATCGAAATTACAAATCTTAATACCAGGCTCGCAGAAATTTCAGCTGAGTGTTTTTTTGTAAAATTATTTAATAACTACACTACCAATAAATAACTTAATAAATAATTAAAATAATTAAAGTGTCACATACCTTGAGGCTTAAACAAATATGTGAATATAGTAATGCCTTAACGTATGCATTGATTTTCAAGGACAAATAAATTTACACAGTATTTATTATTTTAAGCAAAATGGTATATGCAGCTTACTAAAAATTATGTTCGGCTGGTATTAAGATTTCAGTTTTCAACGAAATCGAAGTAGAGTAAATTTTGCAAATCAATTTTTCGATGACGTCATAATAAAGCAATGACATTGTGTGTGTATCGAGTATATTCAAATATGGTTCGTGGGTTTGTTTTATTACTTTTTTTGTTACCTTTTTTTGTTTGGATAAGTAAAAAAAAACAGAAGTAAGCAATGGAATATCGAGACGAGAATAGGACGGACGAGAAGCCTACTTAGAAAGAAAAAGTCGGAGGTTAGTATGATAGTACGTATTCACTATACAAACTTGGAAGAGTGGATTATAGATAATGTATGTATGTAAGAATGTGGCTTACTGTTAACTTTAATTTTTTTAAAACAAGTAATGAGCTTCATCTGTGCACAATCTTTGTTTTTTTTTTATAAATCAAAATAATATTCCCTTTTCCCTCCTCTAAACTTCCTTGCTGTGTATTGGTATGCGCACTTTCTTGCATGGGTTACCTGACCCAAGGCGTTTTCTGGTCTTGATCAAGATTTCTTTAAACTTGATCCTAAAGGTAGGTATGTAACAGATTCTACAGTGGATCCATTGGAAACACTAGGAACCACATTGCTCCTCGAGGCCACACTGCACGAGCTATTGCATTTAGGTAAAAGGCCAATGCAAATAGACCAATAATAACCAATACAAATAGAGGTATACTTAAGATAATAAAAACAATGTGAAATAAAGATACAAATAAAGAAAATTTTTAAGTTTTTTATTCACTTCAAGATCTGAAACAATTCCATTTCAGTTTTAGATCAATTCTCTTCAGTTCTAGTTCAGTTTTAGTTCTGTTCTTATCTTAGCTAGAAAATAATTTACTATAGAAAAGACAAGAAGCCTTAAATGTAGAGGAAATTTCAAAAAATTATGAGATAAAATTGAGTTTCGTAGGGAAATCGTTCTATTTTTTTCGGAAATTCCCGAGTTTGAAGCAAAAAAAAAAAAAAAAAATCTATACATAAACAACAATATTTTATATTTATTTTTTTGTTTGTTTTAATCTCGAAAACCACTGGCCGAATCTGGTTGGAAACTCACCTTTCTGGTAAATTCCCATGCTGAATCCGAAAATGCATTCGGAATGGGCCTAGGTCCATTGTTTCATCAAAATTCCCGAAATTGTTTTATTTTGAACAATTTGTATTATTATTTCGGGATCTTAAGGCCGAGAGCAACTAAAATTTAAAATCTATGCTGAATCCGAAAATGGTTTCAGAATTGAGCTAGGTCCAATATTTCATAAAAATTTCAGCACAAACATTTTGAACAATATATTTCACGAAAGTTCGTTTCACATCAAGATTGCTAGCAAATTTTCCAGAGAAAATTTTGGAAAATTTTGATATGAAAATGGACCTAAGTCCATTGCTTCATCAAAATTCCCGACATTTTTTTATTTCGAACAATTTGAAATTTTGAAATGACACAAAATTTTGTAGTAAAATCAGCC